TTTTTTTTTAAAGGGGATTCTTTTTTAAATTAATTTATTTGACTGTGTCGGGTCTTAGTTGCAACATGTGGGATCTTGTGCTATGTGCATGGATTCTCTAGCTGTGGCACGTGGGTTTAGTTGCTCCACAGCACGTGGGATAAGTTCCCCGACCAGGGATCAAACCTGCATCCCCTGCATTGCAAGGTGGATTATTAACCACTGGACCACCAGGCAAGTCCCCCAAACTGTCTTTTTCTGTAATTTCTGCTGACTTTGAGATTGTGTCATAATTAAAGCTCCCAAACAACCAGACACTTTGGGATTTCAGGATCCAGTCAAGGTCATGAACCTTGCCTCCATCTATTGGAAAAAGCATTGTAAGGATGTTCCAGGGCAGTGCATCAAGTTAGATCTAAAGTAAACAAAAACTAATTGCTAGGCTCAAAAAATTAAGACTTTTTTCTATTTGCCCTCTTAAACTTTGAGCTTAATAAAGTACATAATTCTCTGTTATTCATATTTGTGTTAACATACATTTCACAATTGAAACAGAGAATTATACCTCAGTAGTTGAACAAATATGTCATATTCAACCAATTTGTTGCTGCTGCTGTTTTACCACAGGAGACAAATCTCAAGTCTTAAAAGAAACTTACTCATTCTTAGAGGGCTACATGTTTAGCTACCCAATTAAAACAAATTCATTTTTATAGATTTAACTTCACTTCACTGTAACAGTCTTACTATTTTCCATTTTCTTATCCCGCTTCTGATCATCTAAAACAATTAAGAGCGCAGCAGAAATTAGTAGCAAAGAAATAACCTGCACCCTACAGGAAACCAGGGCATCTTCCTGGCCTGGGTAAAATAGTAATTAGAAATGCAAAGGCCCAGTTGCACTAATGAGAAGCTTAGCATCAGTCAGTCTTAAGTAAATGGACTTTCAGGTTGGCTGTCACTAAGCATGAACGAAATATTAATTATGTAACTTGTATCATTAATAAGTTTTTCTAAAACATTGTGGAAGCTTCTCCATAGTGGGAGAAATGTCTGCACTCTTCTGTGAAAGAAGTAAACTATATAAGTAATTGGTAACCGTCACCCCGCCCCATAACCAGACCCAACTCTTTCTTTCCTTCATTGTAAAAGGTCCTGCTAAATGTTTCCCTCTACTCTCTACAATCCACTCTTCACTATGACCTTTTTGACTAATCCTCTGCCAGGCTCACTGACAAGCACTCAACATACATTAGCTAATAGGATCTTCACAATCCTGTGTGGCAGAAGCCACCATTCCCATTTGACAGATGAGGAAACTGAGACAAACAGCTTAAGACACAATCGGGAGAATCCTGTGTTCCTTCAATTCTAAGATGCCACCAAATTTTAACAAATTTCTAATTTAAAATTTTTTGATTAGGGTAAAATACACATAAAAATTTACTATTTTTATATGTACAGTTCAGTGGCAATAAGTACATTCACAGGTCTGTGGAATCATCACCATCATCCATCTACAGAACTCTTTTCATATTGCAAAACTCAAGCTCTGTCTGTATCTACTAAATATTAACTCCACATCCCACCCTTTCTTCCGCCAATGCAACCACTATTCGATTTTCTCTCTCTATGAATTCATTTGACTACTCTAGGTATCTGCATGCATGCTCAGTCATGTCCGACTCTTTGTGACACCTATGGACTACAGCCTGCTAGGAACCTCTCTGTCCGTGGGACTTCCCAGGCAAGAATACAGGAGTTTGTCGCCATTCCCTTCTCCAGGGGATCTTCCCAACCCAGGGATCAAACTCAGGTATCCTGCACTGCAGGCAGATTCTTCACCTTCTGAGCCACCAGGGAAGCCCAAAACATGTACAGATACCACTTTTAAGATCATAAAATACATCACAGCTTCTTAGATATCAAATGGGAGAAGTCTATACTATCAGCAAATCATTAAATTGCAAGCATAAGACCTTCTACCTGTTGGATTCTTAATACTGCCTCAATTCCCTTTGGTTCTAAAATTAAAGTCTACAATAGGCTAAGCTCTGACTATTCATGTCACACCCATGCCTTTTTGTTTAGTTTATTTTTTATTGAATTTATTGTAATTGTTCAATTACAGTGCAGTGTTAGTTGCTACAGTATAGCCAGGTGACTCAGTTATACATATATATACACACAAATTCTTTTTTATATTCTTTTCCATTATTGATTATCACAGGATACTGAATATAGTTCCCTGTGTTTATGGTAGCTGGGACTGTTGTTGGTATTAAGTCACTAAGACGTGTCCAACTCTATGATCCCATGGACTGAAGCACATCAGGCTCCTCTGTCCTCCAGTGGGGATTAGCAGATGTAAATTGGTATATACAGAAGGATAAACAACAAGGTCGCACACCTATGTCTTCATTATTCCAAACACTCACTCCCACTCTCCCCTTCTTGCTTTGGGCTTTGCCCTTTGTCATCAATCTTTTTTTTAATTTCATTTTCTATGAGCTTGCAAAAATACATGTAATTTGGAAGGACTGGATTTCACATGAGGGGATGGATATAAATCAGTTGTACAGATATAAATAAGTTTAACCCAAGAAAACTTACCCCTCTGGAGTTAACATTTAGTTAGTTTTTTAACTGCCATTTTTTTGGATAAAAACTGAATCTCTGTAAGGTGTGTAAAGTATTTGTCCATTTTGTGGATACATAACTTTAAAATGTTAGATATTAACACAAAGAGCAACCAAAACCACAAATTAACAAGCTATTATCCATCAAGCCAATAAATTGAATACAATAAATAAATGCTATTTTAATAAATGTTAAATTCAATTCATTCAAATGTATACACCATTTTATCACTCATGGAGCAACATTCATCACAAATGTAATTACTGACCATCTACTGCATGCCAAGCATTGTTCTAGGAACCACTGATGCAGTGGTTTTGTTTTGATTTGTTTTAAATACAGTCAAAAGTCTCAGTGATACTTCCATTCCAGTTGGAGAGACAAAAAAATACATATAAATATGGAAAATACACAGTACATAAGAACGTGGTGCATTCATAGTAAAAAAAATAAAAGTAGGGAGATGTACTATAAAGAATAAGTATGTGAAACTTTAGATCAGGTGGGCAGGAAAGGCCTCACCGAGAGCACAACTTTTAAGTAAATGCGACGAAGCTAGTCATGCAGATAATCTGAGAAAAGAGTTTTCTAGGCAGAATAAACAGCCAGTGCAAAGGCCCTGAGGCCCAGTTTCACCAACATGTTTGAGAATCAGTGAGGAAGCCCACGTGCCTGAAGTGGAGCAGAAGAGGACAATGAGCTCTGAGGTCAGAAGGCAACGAGGAACAAGTGCTAAACTAAACGGCTTGCAGTCCAGCAAGCACTCTGTTTCTAAGTCACATGTGACTACCACCGTAGGTTTCTCAAAAAGGCATGGATGACATGATATGTTTCAGGAAACATCACACCACTTTCAATCTTTTCCAGAAACACTTCAACAGACTGAGCACCTTATTAATGGAGATACTTTGGACACGAGTGAAACACTTAACCACAGTGCCCTCATGTTCTGGCTGCATTGGCTGCCTCTGAATGCAGGGTGGGGATTGGTTCCTCTAAGTTCCCTCCCCAAAGTGTGCTGAATGGTCAGGAAAACAAGCCGTAAAGAAGGGGAAAGGGAGGAGGTAGAAACAGCCTGAGAAATATGCCAGGAAATCTCTGGTTTCAGAGCATGAAGCAATTCCCCAAAGAAATCAGCAGACCTGGATACTTAAATCTCTAGAGGAGAAACTTGCAGAAAAACTAAAGGTGCAATAATTAGGTATTGTGTATTATACAAAGTAAAAGATACAAAATAAAATATCTAAAATACTAGCATACAAAGTAAACTATCTCAAAGTAAGACATGCAAAGTAAAATACTTATGCGTATTTTACCCTAATCAAGGTTGCGGAGATGCGCTAAAAGATGGACCGTACCATTTGCACTTGAAATGGGGAGGTATGCTGGCTGGAACAGGGGGGCATTGGTGTTTGTGTCACATCACATGAAAATGCTTTAGGTGCAGGATGTACTGATACCATTAAGCTTCCCAAAGCAAACAGCTGACATTGGCACCACAGACCAAAAATAGATTTTCATTCTTTCATGCAATTTTCATTAACTTTTATATAAAGACAATTAACTTATAAGCTTATTCATGCATTTTCCTGAAAAACTATCCATTAAATATTTACAAAATAAACACTTTTTCTAGCTCCTCTTTTGAATATTTTTGTGACATTCTGTGGATTTTGTGTGTTTAACACATACTAAAACATAGCATTTACCATTGTTTTCAGGGGAAGGGCAGATCTGCCTTGCCCTCAGTTTTCGAGAAGGATGCCTAGAAAGAGGCTCATTGTTCAGTGACTAAGAACACCATTCAGAGCCCAATCCACAGACTCACTGAAGTACTGGCATCGAGATGACTGTCACAACCACTAGGTGGCGCCTGACACCACATACTGCCACCAACCCGTCCCTTGCTATTAGAATCTAATCGCTGCTCGTGCTGCAGTCCACGGGGTCGCAAAGAGTCGGACATGACTGAGCAACTGAACCACAACATTCACTGTACTCCCTATTTTGAATCGCTATCGGGCCCTTTCAAATAAACTTCCCAGTATTACCAGTAAAGCATCTATTAAGTGCAAAACTCTTTCCCTCACAGGACTATTTGTTTTAAGCCACAGCAAATCATTCAAGAACAGTTCAAATGCTAGTCTACCTTTAAGGGCAAAATCAGGTGACCAGCTGGCACACAGGAAATGTATACCAACAGCAATTTGTAAAAAACTAGAGTCAAAAGGAAATCAGAATCTCTTAATGGATAAGGTTGGGGCAAACTTTGTTGCCCTGTAGCTGTTTTTTCTTGTTCGGATCAGCTACTTTGTGTTCTAAGTTTTGGACTAAGCAATGGAAGATTCACGGTGTGGGGCTGGTAATGAGCGGATATCTACCATTTGACTCTGGAGCCACTCAATGAGCGTTTCTGCCGTGGAGTCCGGGATCTGACACCTCAAGCCTTCCTTCTCGTCTGCTTCCATCATCTCCAGCAACCCGCGCAGGTCTTCCACAAGGTGCAGGGCTCGCAAGCTTCCCATGAATGGGGAGGTGGGGGACTGGCAATCGAAAATCCCATTGGAATATTCCAGGGCCTTAGAACCTAGGTTTAAAAAAAAAAAATCAGAGAGAGAGCAATGGGATTTATGCTGGATAATATACCAAAGCTGAAGGTGGCAAGCAAGTCTAGTCACAGTGAGGAATAACCAAACAAGTAGGGAGGAGAGAATTCAATCACGTAAATCTCTCCAAGGGATAGTCATTTGGTGAAAAAGTAAAAACTATGTAATTGATGAGAGATTGTTGCTGTTTAGTCCTTGTATCCAACTCTTTGCGACCCTGTGGACTGCAGCCTGCCAAGCTCCTCTTGCCAAGGGATTTCCCAGACAAGAAAACTGGAGTGGGTTGCCATTTCCCAAGTATCAGTGGTCAAATACCTAACAGGGAGGCCAGCTGTGTGGCATAGTAAGAGTAGGATGGGTCTTGGTATAGCTGGCATAGTAAGAGTAGGATGGGTCTTGGTATAAGATGAGCTGAGCTCAAGAGACACAGGCTAAGAAGAGAGCAGATCAGTTTGTGTAGAGCCATGTATTCCCCAAAATAAAAATTTTATAAAGCATAAAGTTTTAAAATCCCCCTAGAAAGAAGCTGCATATTGAGGTGGAAATTGCAAAGCATAATTTCAAAGGTAAGAGAGCCAGCTCTCAGTTAACTGCCTAGAATTTAATGTCTGAAGTTCAATACCTCACACATGTACATTGTATACGTAAAAGGGAGCATGTGTGGATAAACACTTTCCCCCGCAATTTTGTTTGCAGCCTAGCATCAAATGTTCTTGCTAATGTTAGCTTCAAAATATAGTTTTAAAGCCATTTTTATTTTCTATCACTTTTCACGGAAAACAGTCTACTACTTAAATACATACACTGATTCACAGCGCATTCTGAAAGCACCCATAGACACCTGTACATCTCTTTGATTTTTAGTTTCTGGTCTATCAAACATACCATCAAATATATATATTAACTTTATGCTTAAATTTCAGCAACTATGATATTTAGGCCATCACCTCACAAATCCGGGCTTCCCTTGTGGCTCAGCTGGTAAAGAATCCGCCTGCAATGTGGGAGACCTGGGTTCGATCCCTGGGTTGGGAAGATCCCCTGGAGAAGGGAAAGGCTACCCACTCCAGTATTCTGGCCTGGAGAATTCTATGGACTGTACAGTCCATGGGGTCACGAAGAGTTGGAACCAACTGAGTGAATTTCTCTTTACTTCTCACAAATCTAAAGGTCTTACAACTGGATGAGACCTGTGAGCCAATGTGTAAGTTCTCTCTCCAGTTGGCCACAGGGTTGATCAGTTCTAACAATGGGGAAAGGAATTCTCTTCCAGCTATTTAATGCCATTGATGTCCCTGATCAGCGGACTACAAGATTTGGATCAAACATCTACCGAACTATGATAATGGTAACCACTGATATGTACAGTGATGAATGCTAATGGAGCCACATAACCATCTAAATCAGCCTCCTCAGGAAACCCTGCACAGTTGAGATGAGAAATCAGAAAAAAAAAAAAAATAGAGGTGAGAATGTCAGGAGGAAGGAAGAACAGGAAAGCAGCAAAACCCAGACAGATTATAATGTCCTATTTTCCAGCACTTTTTAAGTATTAGGATCATGCAACATAATGATTTAAAAAACTTGTGAGCCCATGGTAACCCTCTGTTCTGTTCGGTCTTCAACACAAAACAAAGTGGGAAGAGGAGAGAAGTGTGTATTTAGAAAAACTCCCAAATGTTTGTTGTCAGTTCTCCTCTTCTCCCTCTTATCTCAGTTGGAGAAATACTGATGGTAATTTGAAAACATAAATCCAGATCCCACCCGCAAAGCTGTGACTGACTTAGTGTGAGATGAGAGCTGGGGAATCTTGTCTTAATAGCTCTAGTATTGCTCCTGGGGCCCTGCCAGGACTGAGGAACAAGGACAGAATCTAGTGGAATGTGCGACATATAATCCCTCAGAAATATCACTTCCCTTGATGAGAGGTAAGGTTGTATATAATCCCTGGGAAGAACCTAAAATTGGTTCTAATTATTTTATTTTCTGAAATTGTGACAGAGTAAATCTATTCTCGTTCCCATATAACAGGCCTTAAACTAATTAAAAGCATATATCATAGAAAATGGGGCTTTCCTGATGGCTCAGTGGTTAGGAATCCGCCTGCAATGCAGGAGATGCAAGAGATGTGGGTTCAGTCCCTGGGTCGGGAAGATCCCCTGGAGAAGGAAATGGCAACCCACTCCAGTATTCTTGCCTGGACAAGGAGACTGGTGGGCTACAGTCCCTGGGGTCCCAAAGAGTCGGACACAACTGAGTGACCGAGCGCACACACATCCTAGAAAACAAACACAAAAAGGACCCATGGCAGAGCACAGGGAACTACACCCAATACCTTATAAAAACCTATAATGGAAACGAATCTGAAAAAGAAAGTATGTGTACGTGTAACTGAATTACTTCATTGCATACCTGAAACTAACATACCACTGTAAATCAACTATATTTCAATTTTCAAAAAGGCAGTTAAAACAGAAAAAAATTTTTTAAGAGTTAAAAAAATAAAACCATATATCATGCCCCAAGCAAGAATACACTTTCCTAGATTATACATAACTAGTTCCTTAGTTTGCTAAACTCTTCACCTTCATGCTTACCTTCTCTAGATAAGTTTTAGTTTGCCAACGACACTGTGAAAATAATATTCTAAGAACTGAATACAGTACTCAAAATGTGGTCTAATCTACAAAGGAGGTCAAATTGAAAGAAGGTCTCCAAGACATAGAAGTATAATAAAGAGACCATGCAGGTCACTTCCTTGAAGAGAAGAACCTTTTGAAGAGGAAAACACCTTTGGTTTCTCCAAACCACCAAAGTCGAGTAGGGTCCAATTTGTGACCAGAAAAGAGAAGCAGCTGGGGCCAGGACAACTATATCCTGACCCTGGTCGCTGGTCAAGGCCAACTCTAACAGGACCCTGACTACCAGGTGCGTGCAGGCCAACCCATTCAGACATCTCCTCATTGTAACTGGTTCATTCCCAAATACATGAAAGTCCCTCTCTTGAGACAAGACACAAAACGTGACAGAAGAGCTTGGTTTAGTGGTGGTTTAGTCACTAAGTCGTGTCCAACTCTTGCAACCCCGTGGACTGTAGCCTGCCAGGCTCCTCTGTCCATGGGATTTTCCAGGCAAGAGTACTGAAGTGGGTTGTCATTTCCTTCTCCAGAGGACCTTCCCAACCCAGGGATTGAACCTGGATCTCCTGCATTGTAAGCAGAATCTTTACCTACTGAGCTACTAGGGAAGCCCATGGAAGACAGAAGAGCTTAGGTAGCCCTACTCCTGGGGGATCTGCCAGGGGATGAAGGGGCTCATCTACTAGTCAGTCCCCTCACCAGGATGAGAAAACAAGGAGATAATAGTCTACTTCTTTCGCTCAGCTTCTGTAACAGAGAATTGCTGAAGATTCTTAAGGAGGATGATCAGACTGGCATTTTATTTATTTTTTAATTTATTTTTAATTGGAGGATAATCACTTTACAATTCTGTGCTGGCTTCTGCCATAACCAACATGAATCACAGGTATACATATGTCCTCTCCCTCTTCAACCTCCTTCTCACCTCCCACCCCGCTAGGTTGTCACAGAACACCAGATTTGAGCACCGAATTGAATGAATTAGCCATTCAGCAAATTCCCACTGGCTATCTAGTTACACTAGATAGTAACTAGTATCTATCATACACATGATAATGTATATGTTTCAGTGCTACTCTCTCAATTCACCCCACCCTCTCCTTCCCCCACTGTGTTCACAAGTCCGTTCTTAATGTCTGCGTCTCCACTGCCGAGACTGGCATTTCAGAAAAAAAGATTCTGGTGGTCTGGAAAAAATGATGGACTAGAGCAGGAAAGCAAGTGCGCCAAGGACATCAAGTGGGAGGGTTATTTAGATAGAGCAGGACAACGGTAGCACAGGCACAATAGATTTTAGAGAGGAAAAAAGGGACTGGGAGAATTTGGTAGGAGGCAGAACTGACAAAATTTGACTAAGTGGGGGAACACACGGGTCGTGTCTAGAATGACTTAAACTGCTTTGTGAAAGTGTATAAGAGGGAGGACTATGAGATTAGCCAAGATAAAGACACCATATGTGAACTAGATTGCCAGTCCAGGCTGGATGCATGAGTCAGGGTGTTCAGGACTGGTGCACTGGGATGACCCCGAGGGATGGGATGGGAAGGGAGGTGGGAGGGGGGCTCAGGATGGGGAACACATGTACACCCATGGCGGATTCATGTCAATGTATGGTAAAAACCACTACAATATTGTAAAGTAATTAGCCTCCAATTAAAATAAATTAAAAAAAAAAAACTAGAGGGGCTTCTGAGAAAAGACAGTGAGCTCAGTGTTTCAAATGATGACACTGATGCATCTATAATAAGACATTGCAGTGGGGGGTATCTGGTTGGCTGGTAGAGATAGGGACCTGAAACTTAGCAAAGAATTGGAAAAATAAATAGATGTGAGCATCACTGGTGGGAAAGTGAAAGTCGGATTTAAGGGAAAAGATGAGAACATTCCCGTATCGGGTAGAGCAGTAATCCCTCCCTCCAAGTGCAGTCCATAGACCACCTGGACCAGAGTCACCTTTACTCTGGATCGGAAGCCCAGGAAGGTACCACAATTTTTTGATGTTTTAAAACAAAATTTAAGAATGATTCTGGCAGAAATTGGAGAAGAAGGACAAAGACTGAAACCATGGGGAACCTAAAGGTACTGGAGAAAGCCAATAAATGAAAATATCAAAGTGAAGAGGTAATAAAAGAGTTGCAATAAAAAAAAAAAGCTAAGAGAGCCAAGTAAATGCCATGACTGCATCTTTTAGAGGATGCAGATTACCTGCTATAATCCCATCCATCTGCTCCAGCGCTGCAGCCAACATGTCACTTGCATCACTCATCATCTTGTTATTTGTCAAGGGCAAATTCCAACCTAGATCTGAAAAAATAATGATGTTTATCATTACATCCTTCAAATGATATATGCTTCCTGGCAGGTTTGATAATTCAACATTAAATTGTAACTCCACCTAGCAGTGACATACAGAGAATTGTGAAGTATCAGAGCTGAATTAAGTGAATCATTTAATAAACTGTGACCAGTCACTGTGTGCCTACTCTACCGCTGGATCTCAGGCTATGCCCGATCAGTTAATAAAGTAAGTATAATTCAGTTCTTGCACCCACAGTGTTTAAACTCCAGTAGGACAGTTTCCATGCTGTCCTCTGGAGAGCTCTAGGTCTCTGTGAGGGCAACAGAGGTGGGTGTGGAACCCTGCTCGGGGCCATGAGAGATGCTAGAGAGATCAGACTTGGTTCTATCTGCCCTGGCTCCACCCAATCTCTGCTCTGTCAGTTTTGCCTTTATTTTTATTTTTCTCCTCAATAAGGAATTACCATGAGATTTGTCTAAGAAAATGATTCAGGAACATACATAACAAGTACACACACACCTACTGGCATTTTGCACTGTAAAAAATGACTATCCTGTATTGAGTGTCTATGAGTGCCTATTCTGTACTGAGTCCCACACATTAACATAAATTACCATAATCCTTAGTCAGGGGAGGAACCCTATTAAATGCACAAATCCCTCTTCATTTTATAATGATCTTTGCCTATAAAGACTGCAAGTAAATATAACAAAAACAAGTTTACAAAGATCAGTTTTTGAACTAGAGCTATCTGATTTCCACTGTAATATTAAATTTTTATTTCTCTGATCCTATCAGAAAGAGTTAGGCTGAAATTGTGTCACAATCTACTCACTCTTTTACCAGCTAAAAAAATAAATTAAAATTATTCTTGCAAAAAAATTGGCCATTAACAGGAAAAAAGGCAAATTATGTGATTTTCAATATTAATTAATGCATTTCAGGTACCAGCTAATCATCCAAATAAATTCTCCCAACACACTCAAATAAAGCTCCTACTACTTAGCAGTTACTGTGGTGGAGCAAACACCTGGGAAATAAAGCATATGCTGCTTAACAGAAAACTTTGCCCTCTGTTTCCAAGCAACCTAGGCCTTACCACTTTATTTTTACAAACATATTTACAGTTCTGATAAACAGCTGCTTAGATCAATTCTCTATTATGCGTTCACTCTCATAAAATGCCATTAATCATTGTGAAATCTTACTCTGATTGGATCGTTTTCATATATTTCATTTAAGAATTTCAAAGGTTAAAGTCTCTGGCTATGTGGATCACAACAAACTGGAAAATAAAGAAATGGGACTACCAGACCACCTTACTTGTCTCCTGAGAAACCTGTATGTGGATCAAGCAGCAACAGTTAGAACTGGACATGAGACATCTGACTGGTTCAAAATTGGGAAAGGAGTATGACAAGGTTGTATATTGTCACTCTGCTTATTTAACTTCTATGCAGATTACATCATCTGAAATGCTGGAGTGAATGAATCACAAGCTGGAACAATCCACAGCTTCCACAAGATTGGTGGAAGAAATAGCAACAACCTCAGATGTGCAGACAATACCACTTTAATGGCAGAAATTAAAGAGGAAAGTGAAAAGCTGACTTGAAACTCAACATTAAAAAAAAAAAAGATCATGACATCTGGTCCCATCACTTAATGACAAATAAAAGGGAAAAAAGTAGAAACAGTGGGAAATTTTATTTTTTTAGGTTCCAAAATCACTGTGGACAGTGACTGCACCCTTGAAATTAAAAGATGCCTGCTCCTTGGAAGTAAAGCTATGACAAACCTAGAAAGAGTATTAAAAAGCAGAGACGTCACCTTGCTGACAAAGGTTCACATAGTCAAAGCTATGATTTTTCCAGTAGTCATGTATGAATGTGAGAGTTGCATCATAAAGATGGCTGAGCACTGAAGAACCGATGCTTTCGAGCTGTGTTCCTGGAGAAGACTCTTGAGAGTCCCTTAGACTGCAAGAGGATCAAACCAGTCAATCCTAAGGGAAATCAACTCGGAATATTCATTGGAAGGACTGATACTGAAGCTGAAGCTCCAATACTTGAGCCACCTGATACAAAGAGTCGACTCATTAGAAAAGACTCTGAGGCTAGGAAAGATTGAAGGCAAAAGGAGAAGAGGGTGGCAGAGGATTAGACGGTTAGCTAGCATCACCAACTCAGTGGACATGAATTTGAGCAAACTCCAGGAGATAGTGGAGGACAGAGGAGCCTGGTGTGGTACGATCCAGGGGGTTGCAAAAAGAGTTGGACGTGACTTGGTGACTGAACAATAACAAAGAATTTTCCAGAATTTACTCCCTTCAGAAGGTATAAAATATCACTACATTTTATGTAGAAATACTACACCACAAAAACACCCAAGGCATGCATTTACAGTCACCCAGAAATCAAGGGGCTAATAAGTTAGGTTATAAACCTAGGTGTTCTCAAAAAACTACTAGCACATTTAGCTAGTGCACAGTGCAGAGAGGTAGGGCAGAAATTTGATGATCACACTTCAGGCTTAAATACTCAAGAAACATGAAGGGTTAAGCCAAAGAGTGTATGGTCCTTGAATTCCACATAATTAAGTGGCCTACATTCCCTTTCATTTTAAAGTTGAACTTCAAAGAGCTCTAGAGAGATGCTATCTATCTATCTATATTTGTGTGTGTGTGTGTGTGTTTATAAATAAGAGAGACAGACAGACACATGCCAGGCTCAGCTATAAACATGGGGAATACCAATAAAAATAAAATAATGCTCACATTAGAAAAACTCTCATCACCCCACTAAATCTTTGCAGGTAACTGTAATTTGTGTAGAGCAAGAACACTTTTTCAAGAAAGACAGGTAGTTATCTATTTCTTCTCTGTTCCAATGAACCTTTCAAATGCTAAGACACGGAGGTACGAGAACCTAGGCAATGCTTTTCAAAATGGTGGAGAAGAACCAATTTTTAAAAAAAAATTTCCAGTTTATTAGAGAGCAAGTCTTTGTTTAATATAATATGATGAAAACATTAAAGTGTTATAGAAGTTTATAGATGCTTACTCTCAATCTCTATACCTATCACATAGCAGCCTACATGTAATAATAAGGAGAAGACAGTAAACACAATTAATAAATATGTACATAATATGGCGAAGGTGGTAGGTGCTAAGGGAGAAAATTTGAGCAGTTATCCTCAGGGAGGCAAGGGGCCAGGAATGTGGAGAGGTCCCTGATGGCTCAGTGGTAAAGGAACCCGCCTGCCAATGCAGGAGACACAGGTTCTATCCCTGGGTCGGGAAGATTCCCTGGAGGAGGAAATGGCAACCCACCCCAGTATTCTTGTCTGGAAAATTCCATGGACAAAGGAGCCTGGCAGGCTACAGTCCACAGAGTCTCAAAGAATCCAGCATGACTGAACGTCTGAGAGCGCACACACACGCACACAAATTAAATCGAGTTGTCAGGAAGAATGACAGGCTCAAAGATCAAAGACGTCTTTAAATTTAGTTAAATATAGGTGGTAGTTCAGTGGTTTCCAAGTATAAAATCACTGAAAATTGATTTAAAAAATGGGAGAGGTAAAGACATGAACAGACATATAACAAAAGGGAAACACTTTCACCAATATAAAATATGAAGAGATGCTTAATGTTATTAATACTCAAAAAATTTAAGATAGCAATGTGATATCATTTTATATTCAGTCAGTTGGCAAAAAAATGGACACTACTGAGTACTATACAAGGATGTGAATTCATAGAATCTCTTACAGAATGGTAATGGGAATGCAAAATGGGCTAAAACGAAAACAAAAACAGGTAGAATCTATGGGGAATTTAGCTCTTGAGTAAAGGTAACTGTGCATAATGAGGTGAGGGTCACATTCACACATCTTTTCACTTGTGGGCACTCCCCCGTCCACATGATGCAGAGTGATTAGAGTTTATGAAGGAAATCACAATCTTACTGGCTCAATGGATAGAAGAGGGTAAAGTTCTTACACTATCCACAAAGATGCTCAATACCAACTCACAGCAGGCTATGATAAGAATATATAAAACAATCCATCCAAACTGTACAAAGTAAAAAGCCAGTTGAGTTGATGAGAGATAGAATACTAATAAAATCCTCAATTAATCCAAAAGAAGGAAGTAAAGGTGAAACAATGCTGGGAGAAAAAGACATCAAATGGCAAATGATAAACTTAACAATCATATAATTTACTATTACATTAAATGTAAATGGAATAAACTTTTAATAAAAGCCCAAGATTGTCAGACTGGTTAAATGTAAAGACATATAAAATATAAGAATGAAAAATAAGATATTACACACACAGTAAATAAGTGTGGGGAAGGAGGATTGGCCATATTAATGTGTGAAAAGTGACTTTCAATCAAGTATTACTAGAAAGAAGGATATTTTATAATGATAAAGAGTCAATTCATCACAAATGTTTCTGCAACTAATAACAGAGCTTCAAATAACATGAGGCAAAAACTGATACAACTCAAGGAGAATTACACAAATTCAGTCCATTTATATTTATTTATTTATTTTTTTTAATTTTTTTTTTATTTTTTAATTTATTATTATTTTTTTTTTATCACAACCATAGTGTATCTTTTTTTTTTTTTTTACATGTATTAACCGTTGGATTTAAGTCTACTGTCCTGCCATTTTTTTCTGTTTATCCCATCTTTCATTTGTTCCTCCTTTTCAACCTTCTTTTGGAATGACAGACAAGGTAGGAAAACAAATCAGGGAATAATACAGACTTTAGCAACACTATCACCCACCTTGACCTAATTTAATTTATAGAACAAAACATCCAAATGCAGAACATATTCTTTTCAACCCACATGTTATACACACTAGGCCAGGCCATGCGTGTATGCAAGGCTACAAAATAGGTCTCAATAAATTCCAAATGGGCATTAAAGGATTATACAGAAGAGTAAGAACAGCAACCGAAAGTGGTAAAGTACTAATATTAAAAACAG